GCAGGAATAATTAGCAGTAATCTGGATAAATTAGGCACCTAAAAAAACAAACCTTCTGCAATTCTATGGTTATTATTTCTGCTGCTGCCGGCATCCATCTCTCTTGGAGACAACAGAGGAGTGTGTCCTGGGCCAGAAGTCGGCTTCACCTGCTGAGCAGCAGCCTGAAGGAGCAGAAGGTGAGTTGACTCCACCTGTTGCTCATCAGCCTTCTTGCTCCTGATGTGAACCAGCTGACTCCAGCTTTCTCAAGCAGAATTTCCAGCCTCAGTCAGTTACTGGAAACAAAAGTTTGTTGTTTCTGGCCAGACCTTGCTGTTTCTTGTGACCTTGGGCCCTCGGCTTTCTTGACCCCCAGATCGTCTGACTACGTGAACTGAGATACTCCTGACCTTAGGGCTGGACCTTGCATTCGGACTCTGCCTCCAGGCAAGGACCCCCCTGAGACTTGGCTGGCTTCTCCCTCACCTGAGCTCTGCCACAGCTGGCAGCACAGGACTGCAAGAGAGTGCACCTTTGGGGCTGAGGTCGAGCTGTTGGAAGGTTGCAGTGCTTGCTGTGGCTGTAGAGACCGACGCAGGAGAGACATGTTTTGTTGCAGCCGGGGCAGAGGACTGAAGACTGAACCATAGAATCCCAAACTGTAGAGCTGGAAGGGACCCCGAGGGTCATTCAGTCCACCCCTCCCCGGCAACGCAGGAACCTCAACTAAAGCATCCATGACAGATGGGACCTGGGACCTTCTACATGCCAAGCAAGTGCTCTACCACTGACCTGTAGCCCAGCTGCACTGTAGACTGCTGTCATGATCAACTGCTTTTCCAGGTAAACACACACACACACACACATAATTTCACAGAATTGCAGCCTTGGGAGTGGGGAAGGGGTGGGGCAGAGGAATGACTAATGCAACTGAGATGGCTCAGGCAGTAGAGCAGGACACTTAATCTCAGGGGGGGGCTCTCTCCTTTTCGTGAACTCTCCCGCACCCCCTTTTCTCTTAATCTCAGGGTCATGGGTTCAAGCCCCACACTGGGCAAAAGATTCCTGTATTGCAGGGGGTTGGGCTAGATGACCCTCAGGACCCCTTCCAACCCTGCTTCCACTGTCTCGCCAGAGTGGTGCATGGCCTGGTTATCTCCCGCTTGGACTACTGCCATGCGCTCTACATGGGGCTGCCTTTGAATGTGACTCAGAAACTACAACTATTCCAGAATGAGGCAGTCAGACTGGTGACTGGGAGCAGCTGCTGGTACCATATAACTCTTGTCCTGAAAGATCTGCATTGGCTCCCAGTATGTTTCTGAGCACCATTCAAAGTGTTGATGCTGACCTTTAAAGCCCTAAACTGCCTTGGCCCTGAAACCTGAAGAAGCGTCTCCACCCGCACCATCCACCCCAGACACGGAGGTCCAGCTCTGAGTGCCTTCTGGCGGTTCCCTCACTGTGAGAAGTGAGGATACAGGGAACCAGGCAGGGGGCCTTCTCAGTAGTGGCACCCGCCCTGTGGAACACCCTCCCATCCGATGTCACGGAAATAAAAATCTACAGTCGTACCTCAGTTTAAGAACAGCCCTATTTATGAACAATTTGGTTTATGAACTCCACAAAACCGGAAGTAGTGTCCCAGTTTGCGAACTTTACCTTGGTCTAAGAATGGAATCCAAAAGTTGGAAGGGCACTGGTGGCAGGAGGCCTCATTAGGGAATGTGTACCTTGGTTTAAGGACTGTTTCAGTTTAAGAACGGACTTCCAGAATGGATTAAGTTTGTAAACCGAGGTACCACTGTATGACTTTTAGAAGATGTCTTTAGGCAGCCCTGTAAGGAAGTTTTCAATGTTTGAGGTTTTATGGTGTTTTTATATCTGTTGGAAGCCTCCCATAGTGGCTGGGGCAACCCAGTTAGATGGGTGGATATTAGATTATTATTATTATTATTATTATTATTATTATTATTATTATTATACATGACCCTCATGGTACCTTACAATTCTGTTATTCTATTATCTAGTCCACCCTCCTGCAATGCAGGAATCTCAGCTAAAGTATCAAGCTAAAAATCTCAGCTAAAGACCATATGAGGGACCCCGATCCTCCGTCCAACAGCTCTTACCGCCAGGATGTTCTTCCTAATAAAATCCCATCCCTGTTGAAAGCCAGCCAGAGGCCCTCAGAGAAGCCCCATTCCCTTTTATTCATTTATATTTACCCCCAGCCTTCTAGTTCAATTCCATCCTTCTCTTTCAGCAAGTAAGATTTTAACTGGCCGCCTAAGAGAAAACTCTTCCTGTACATCCCACAATAATGTGAAAGGGGTCGCCTGCCCCCCACCCCCTGCAACAATTCACAGGACCCTTTGCCGGAAGATGTAGACGTGGGGAGACATTTGCAAAAGCTGGGGTGCCCCGTCGAGTAGTGGGTGGGTTTGTACATTCGGTTTTCTAGCTTTATGACATCATATATACTCATACAGCTAGATAACCAAAGAGAAAAACCAGCCCTGTTGGGTAGGCCTTGCCCAAACATCTATGTATTTAGACCAAGGGGGAGAGGGAGAAATCCGATCTAGTTCACGCTTACATTCTGAGCTACCTGATGCATGTTTCTGGACACAAGACAGGAGCCATTTTTCGAAACTTTGCCCCTTACCTGAATTTCGCAGTGTGTCCAGAATTTTGCAACACAATGTGTCCAGAAATACATATATCCCTGGTGTAGTGGTTAGAGCATCGGGTAAGGACATGGGAGGCCAGCATTCGAAGCCCCACTCAGCTGTGAAGCTCACTGGGTGCGACCTTGTGGGGGGGGGCAGCCACTGCCTCTCAACCTAGTCTGCTTCGCAGGGTTGTTGTGTGAGGAGGGGGAGAGCATGCAGGCCACCTTGAACTCCCTGAAGACAAAGCTGGGCTTTAAGTGCAGTGAAACAATAACCTGAAATATGGCAAAGGCATTCAAAAATAACCCTGCCGTCCAAACTGCCGCTGGGACAGACACCCAAAGAGGCTTGCCCTCAAGGAATACCCCCTTTTACACCCCCACAAATATGTGGCTTTGGAGACCTGCCGCCTCTTGCAGACTGCTCCCACGATAACAATATATACGGTATACCCTGCCAACCCCAGTCCAGGCCCAAGCATATCCCACTGAGACCCCAGTTGCACCTGCCTCTAGAGTAACCCTGTGTGCAAAAAATCTCTCCCCTCCCAAAGTTACTGGCTCTGCAGTTGCTGAGTCACAAACCCAGGGGGAGGAAGACATGGTCTGTGCATCTTAAAGGGACCGGCCATAATTCTCCGCCTCCCCCTGCCTACGATGCTGATAATTATTCTGATTATTTTGTTATTATCCTCAGCCTCCACTCCAGTTTGTGGAAATCTCTGGATGGTAAAAGAAAACCAAACCATTGCACAGCTTCCCAGGATTTCAACACATTTCTCTCTCTACGTGTCTGCATGCGCCGTCCCTTTGCAAATGCCAGCACTACCAGCAAATCGCTTCATTTGTTCCTATTTTGATCAAACCAAAGTTCCTAATTTATTATTATTATTATTATTATTATTATTATTATTATTATTATTATGGGGCCTTCCCCCCCTCTTCACTGCCCCCGACCCCACCCTTGGGTAAATGCCACCTCTGAAATTTCATTTGCAGGTTTCCAAAACAGAGTCCCTAGAAGCAAAGAGGTCTATCCGAGGATTTCGCCCGGCGAAATCATCACCCACAACTCGATTGGATCAGTTCATCGCAAAGTGCCTAACTCAGCTTGGCTACCCAACCCAAAGCCTGGAGGTAAGAGGAGGAAGAATTTTTTATTTTATTTGAAGCAACAACAGCAACATGCGCACACAAATATTAACACAGCAATCTGTTTCGCACGCTAGCAACCGGTTCATCTTGAACAGCTGATTAAGATTTGCAGGTATGGGATACTTTCAGCCTCTCGAATGCATCTTTGGCCTAATTGATGCAAGACCTCCCTAACTCTTTAAGGATCTTCCAAAGTGAGTTGTTCTCAAGTTACTTTGGGAGGAAGGATTGGACAGATGGATGGATGGATAAATATTAACAAAGCATCTAACATAGCCTCTGCCAATGTATGAAATGGCAAAATGAATCTTGGAAGAGCCCTCCAACCAGGTCAGAAGTGTTACAAGGGTGTCCTCAATTAAATTTGTAAAAGAAGAGGAGATAATATAACCTCTTCTCTCTCTCTGGACAGGGTAGCTATTTAGCTGGCCTCACCTCAGAAGGTGAACCTACAAAATTCGCAATTTCATTTCATTATTTTTTTATTAATCTAGATTTTCAAGATAGCCTACAAAAGAGCCTATAAAACAAACATAAAACAGATCAAAAATATCAGAAACAAAAGCGAATTCCCAGTTTTGAAAAATATATGGAAACCAGAAAACAGCTCCCTGTCAAAATTTGCACTTTTCTGAATTTTACAAGCCAGTTCTCCAGCCAAGTCATGCATATATATATATATATATATATATATATATACACACACACACACACACACACACATTTGCATAGTGTGGATAAAATGCATGATATTTGTGAAAGCAAGAAATTAGCGTTTTAGGAAAGATTCAGCAATGACATTTCATGAGAACTTTTCCTCCTTAATAAAAATACAAATCACAAACTGCTGTGAAAATGTAAAGAACTAAGCTAAAGACTGGGGAAACAAGAAAGAGTGAAATGGACCGATTTGCCTATTCCTACTGGTCCTTATTAAAAAAAATTTAAAATCCTACAGCTTTAACAAAAGGCAAGTCAATTGTAGCCAATCCTACTCCGAAGTAGACCCATTGAAATTAGTGGCCATGACTCACTTAGGACAATTCAAATGGGTTATTTCCTCCTGCTACTTTCTATCTGGATTTGAGGCTCCGGATTTCACCCTGTGCAAAACCTATTCCCCAAAAACGTCAGAACATTGCCCACAAGAGAGAGCCCATTTCCATTTCTGCAAAAGTTTGCTACTCACTCAGTTTCCTGCCCTGTCTCTTGCTGTCCAAAGTTGACGGTTCCGCCTAAATCGCCACGTTTTGCCATTTCTGCGTTCCCAAAGTGTGTGGTAAAGGGGGGGTGTCAAAAAGAGAGATTTTGGATGGGGAGAGAAAACTCAAAACAGACTCCACCCCCCCCCGCCCTGCAAAATAAAAATCCTTTCAGCATATAAGTGTCCGGCTCCTCCAGCCTCTCTGAATGTGAGGAGTCTCCTTCTCTTCTCTAAACTTGATTGATTTTTAAAAACCGGCTCGGGTTGGGGCGGGAGAAGAAGATGGGAAGGGGTTGGGAGGGGGTGAACCTCTGAGAGCGACAGCATGGGAAAAAGAGGGGTGGGGGAGCAATATGGAAATGGAGGGACAATGGCCAGACAGGGGGAGAAGACGACAGCCTTTCTATGCGGGAGAGCCAGACAGGGTCAGGGGTCGTCCTCCAAAGCCACCAGATGATGCGAATGTCATTTAGGGGTGCCTATTCAGACACAGATGAACAAGTTTGCATGAGGCTGCCTCTGAGGTAGATGTCTGGTTTAAATTTTTTTTTATATGCAAAACCAACAACCCGCCCTCTGCTCACACAATGCCTGACCCCCAACACGCTCCCTTTCTCAAAGTCGGGTCCCAGTTAAAAGCGGGAAACGTTATTCCAAAGGGTTGGCGTCCAATGGGTGAAAACCAACCCAGTTGGGTGGTTTATAAAGAGATGTCCTTGCTGGATCCGGCTCAAAATATCCTGCACCCTGGCTCGTGGTTTGGGGCTGAGCGTGGAAGCGGCAACCCCAGTTTGTCCCTGGGAGTAGCTGGGATTCAGAGTTGGGTGTCTTGGTTGGAAAAGGACAACACCGGCAACCTTTCCAGGAGCTCACGTCATGCCCAATCCTGCCCCTGCCCCGCTAGCCAAGAAACCTTAATTTAAAAGGTGGGCGCCCAATCTGTATAACCAAAGGGGCAGAAGAATGACCAAGTTTGGCTGTCAATAATGTTTGCATATATTTGCAGTATTACTGAGCCACGTTCAAGATTCTAGTATGAACTGGCAAAATCCTGAGCAGCTTAGGTCAAGGATACCTCTGTTGCCTCCTGAACCCTTACATATCCGAGCTCCCTCAACATCGCTGGCTGTTCCCTGAGTCAACGAGGCTCGTTTGACAACATCAAGGACACCAAGCCTTCACTGTCTTTGGTTTGGTCCTGCGGAACTCTCTGCCACTGGAGATTTGACGGGTGCCTTTGGTGGCAACTTTTAAATGCCTGTTGAAAACTTTTCTGCCAGGCCTACATAGGCAGATAAGAATAGATCCTTCCACAACCGTTAACTGAGATTTGTGTGGTTTTTTAAATGGTTATTTTATGGTTTTTATTGCTGTTATGGGCTTTTTTCAGCTGGAACTTGCCGCCTCTCAGGAGGGTGCCATTGCTATTCTAAGAGAACAAGGGAGGTGCTCGTGGTGAGTTCTGGCACCTCTTTTTCTAGAGCAATTGACTAATTTGCCTATCCCCCCCCCCCGATTGGATGATTGCTTTCATGAGCCCTGCAGGAAGACCTGTCCTTCCAGGTCAGACTCGTCCTTCCAGGCCAGCAACATGGGTATGAGATGCAAGATGCTGCAGGGGGTGGAAGGTCTGGACTTGAGCTGAATTCAAATTGTGCTCTCTCTCCCCCTCTCTCCCTCCTTCTCTGAGCCATGCCTACTTCACAGGGTGGTTGTGAGGATACAATGGGGTGCAAGAGAGAACTGCCCTGAGCTTCTTAGGGAAAAGATAGGATAAAAAAATCAGTCATTTCAAACATTCACCCAAAAGGAAAGTGATGCCCAACTTGGTGATAGCAGAATAAATGATGCAAGGAGGGAACTGCAGCCCAAGATGGGGAAAGAGGTAGTAAGGGAACACCTGGATACTTTAAATAAATTCAGATCTCCAGGGCCTGACGAGATGCATCCAATTTCAGAGCCTTTGTCTATGATCTCTGAGAAATCGTGGAGAACAGGTGAGGTTCCTACAGACTAGAGGTGGGTAAATGTTGTCCCTATCTTCAAAAAGGAAGACCCAGGTAATTACCGACTGGTGAGCTTGACATCAATACCAGGGAAGCTCCTAGAACAGATCATTCAACAGTTGGTCTGTGAGCATTTAGAAGAGGATGCTGTGATTACTAAGCACACCACAGGTTTCTCAAAAATAACTCTGACAGACAAACCTCATTTCTTTTTTTTTCCTTTTGATGGAATTACAGACTTGGTGGATCAGGGAAATGCTGTGGACATAGTGTATCTTGATTTCAGTAAGGCTTTTGACAAAGTCCCCCATGATATTCTCACAAGGCAGCTGCTAATATGTGGTTTGAACGAGGTAACTGTTAGGTGGATTTGTATCTGGTTGACTGATCAAACCCAAAGAGGACTCATTAATGGTTCCTTATCATCTTGGGGAAAAGTGAGTTCTGTCTGGGGCCCGCTGTTGTTCAATAGTCTTTATAAGTGACTTGAATGAAAGAATTGAGGAGATGCTCATCTAATATGCAGATAATACCAAACTGGGACGGGGAGCCAGCGGCACAAAAGACAGAATCAGGATTAAAAATGACCTTAACATGTTGAAGAACTGGGTCCAGGCTAGCAAAATGAATTTCAGTAGGGACCAATGTACTTAGGCAGGAAGAACCAGATGCACAAATATAGGATGGGGGACACCTGGCTTATTAGCAGTACATGTGAAAAGGATCTAGGGGTCTTGGTGGACCACAAGCTGAACATGAGTCCACAGGGTGATGCAGCAGCATAATAAGTGAATGCTGTTCTAGGCTGCATCAACAGAGCAAGGGAAGTATGGTAATGTCCTACTCTATTCTGCCTTGGTCACACCACACTTGAAAACTGTGTCCAGTTATGGGCACCACAATTTAAGAAGGATATTGATGGGCTGGAAGGTGTGCAGAGGAGGGTGACCAAGATGATCAAGGATCTGAAAACCAAGCCTGATGAGGAACAGTTGAAGGAGCCAGATATGTTTAGCCTGGAAAAGAGGAGACTGAGAGGAGATAGGATAGTCATCTTCCAGCATCTCAAGGACTGTCACACAGAAGAGGGAACAAGCTTGTTTTTTCCTGTTCTGGAAGGTAGGACTTGAACCCATGGCTTCAAGTTACAAGAAATGAGATTCCGACTAAATATCAGGAAGAACTTTCCAACAGTAAGAGCCATTTGATAGTGGAACAGACTCCCTTGGGAGGTTGTGGGAGGTTTTTAAGCAGAGGTTGGGTGGGATGCTTGAGTTGAGATTCCTGCATTGCAGGGGGTTGGACTTGATGACCCCCAGGGTCCTTTCCAGCTCTACAATTGATTTTATGATTCTACTAATCTTTCTCCAAACTAAAAAGTCCCAAACGCTGCAACCTTGCTTCATAGGACACCCCAGTAATCATATGGGTGGTCCTTTTCTAACTCCATAATATCCTTTGAGGTGAGGCAACCTAGAAGTCCCAACTTAGAGAGCCAGCTGGAAAAACAACAACCCACGCTATGATCTAAAACTTAAAGTTTGCGTGTTCAGTTCAGACTTGAGGTGGGAAGGCCGACTGAGCACATCAGGCCTTCTTTCTGTATAAACATGGGCAGGATCCTGCTGGGTATTGGGACCCAAATGAGACTGGGAAACAAAGAAAGCAAATGGGATCCCCAAGAGATAGGGATGGCGGTGGAAGAACAGCCTTGTCCGTGGTGCTGAAATATCCCCCCTACTTTCTGCCAAAATCTTTTTGTTACTTCTAAATTTCAAAAGTTTACAAAATGATATTGCTGCCATATACACATCCAACTCAACTTCAACTTCCCCTCCATGGTTTCCCCTGTAGTTTCTAAAGTTGCTGCATATTATAAATATTCTATACATTATCTTTTCCACACTGCACTCCAGCACTTCAGCTGCTGTTCTTCATTCAAATCCTGTGTTTACAATGATTCTTTAAATATTCAACAAAAGGTTTCCACTCCTCCTTAAAGTCTACCTCTTCTTGATCTTCAGTTTACATAGTTACGTTTGCCAATTTGGCAAGGCTTTCTGCAAAAATCTTTGGGTTAGGCCTATTACCAGTCCTACTCATAGAATCGTGGAGTTGGAAGGGACCCTGAGGATCATCCAGTCCACCCCCTGCAATGCCGGAATAGGCAGCTGCCCCATGCAGGGATCGCTCCTGCAACTTTGCCATTCCCAGCACCACAGTCTAACCAATGGAGCTATCCAGGCTGACAGTAGATCCATTGAAAAAGGATGGGCTCAAGAAACTTAAGCCCATTTTAGGCCAAGACATACCAAAAGAAAGGAGGACTTAATCTATGTATGCCACTGCAGCAGCAAGAATGTTGATTGCACAAAATTGGAAGACTGGAGAAATACCAAGTAAGAACAAAGGCAAGAGAAGTTGATGAACTATGCAGAACTGGCAAAAATGATAGATAGATTAAGAGAAAAAGACAACAGCAACTTTGAAAAAGAATGGGAACCATTTACCTATATTATATTTGCAGAAACAAAGAAAGTCAATAGACTTGATGGCAGGATTTAAATAAACATTCACATTATTAGTATTAGAAAATGTTTAGAAAATAGTGACATATTATGATGTATTTACTTTTATTTTTATGTTTTTAATCTTGATGTTATGTTATTAATAACTTTTTCTGTTGAGAGATAGCAAAGTGGGTGAAAAGAGAGACAAACCAAAAGCGGAAGTTGGGGAAGCCCTGGAGGGGAGGGAGGAATATATAGTAAATGTTAAGAATTTGAGATGCATGTAATGAATGAAAAAGAAAAATGAATAATTTTTTTTTTAAAAAAAGAAACTTAAGCCCATAAATTTCAGCAGGTCCACTCAGAGTATTATGAAACTGGAGACAAACCTAAGTTCTGTGCATATTATACCCTTTTGAAGGGTCTTCAAAAACCCTTTGCGGTCTTCCTAGCCATATAGATTTTTTTTTTTTTAAACACACACCCTGTAATAAGGGGCTGTTTCTAGAATGCAACTGTTATTTAAATTTGCTCCACACGTCCCTGCATGAGGAAAGCTAGCATGGAACGGGGAGACTGTCATAGCAAGTGGTTGGTGCCCAACTAAGTCATAGTCTGAGCAGACTGGCTGAAATTCACTGAGATGACTAGTGGAAGTCTCTTTAATTTCAAATAGATAACGATTTACCTCCGAGTGCCTTTATGAGCTTTTCCAGAGTCACCTGCTTTGAGGGTTCCCTGATAGTTTGTGCCCTGCAGCAGTGAGTTCCTGCAGTGATCAAAGTGTGCACCATGTCATACAGACTCTAGCCCTGGAAATTTTATTTTTATTTGCTTTCTTTAACATCTATACCACACCTTCCTTCTGTCACAGAAATTCAAGTAGGCAGGCATGTGGTTTTCAAGCTCTGTGTATCTCCCATGCAGGACCTGACCAGGCCCAGGCCTGCTTAGCTGCAGCAAAGAGGTGGTCCTGTAAAACCATTTCTTCAGGATATTGTCTATGCCATGGGTAGGCAAACTAAGGCCTTGGGGCTGGATCTGGCCCACTCGCCTTCTAAATCCGGCCCATGGACAGTCTGGGAATCAGTGTGTTTTTACATGAGTAGAATGTGTCCTTTTATTTAAAATGCATCTCTGGGTTATTTGTGGGGCAAAGGAATTTGATCATTTCCCCTCTCCAAAATATAGTCCGACCCCCCACATGGTCTGAGGGACAGTGGACTGGCCCCCTGCTGAAAAAGTTTGCTGACCCCTAGTCTGTGCTCTGGTAACCTAGCGGTTAGATTGCTGCAATGTGTTATACATAGGACTCCCTCTGAAGAAGGTTTGG